GCGGGTTCGAGACCCACCTGGGCAATTTGGTGAGCCCTCATCTCTACAATAAATCAAAAAATTAGCCAGGCGTGGTAGTACGCGCCTGTAGTTCCAGCTACTCTGAAGGCTGAGGTGGAAGGATCGCCGGAGCCCAGCAGGTCGAGGCTGCAGTGGCCGGGAGCGGCCACTGCACTCCAGTCTGGATGACAGAGTGAGACTCCAGCTCAAAAAAAAAAACATAAAAAAAGAAAATTAGCCAGGCATGGTAGCACACACCTGTAGGTCTAGCTAATTACAAGGCTGAGGCAGAAGGATCGCCAGAGCCCAGCAGGTCGATGCTGGGGTGGCTGTGAGCATGCGTGCCACTGCACTCCAGCCTAGGCAAAAGAGTGAGGCTCCAACTCAAAAAAAAATGTATAAAGCAAAAATAACACCCACTTAATTGGGAAAAAAAAGCTTTTCATGTAGCCAACTACATCTACAGGTAGTAAGCCCTATACCATAGTTAAGAGAGTATGAGACCCGGCCAGGCGTGGTGGCTCATGCCTATAACCCCAACACTTTGAGAGGCAGAGGCCAGAGTATTGCCTGAGCCCATGGGTTCCAGACCAGCCTGAGCAACTTGCAAGACCTTGTCTCTACAATAAATTTAAAAATTAACTGGGCATGGTGGCACATGCCTGTAGTTCCAGCTACTTGGAAGGCTGAGGTGGAAGGATCGCCCGAGCCCAGCAGGTCAAGGCTGCGGTGGCCATGAACATGACACTGCACTCTAGCCTGGGTGACAGAGTGAGACTCTGACACAAAAAAAAAGAGAGTAGGAGACCTAAATTTCAATCTAGTATTCTGTTACTGTGATTAAATAGCTATATTTACATTCTCTACAGAGCAGCTGGGCTCAGTGGCTCAGTATGTAATCCCAGCGCTTTGGGAGGCTAAAGTGAGAGGATTGCCTGAGCCCGCGGGTTCGAGACCCGTCTGGGCAACTTGGCGAGACCTCATCTCTACAATAAGTCAAAAATTAGCTGGGCATGGTAGCGCACGCCTGTAGTTCCAGCCTCTTGGGAGGCTGAGGCAGAAGGATCACCGGATCCCAGCAGGTTGAGGCTACAGTGGCCGGGAGCGGCCACCACACTCCAGTCTGGGTGATACAGTGAGACTCCAACTCAAAAAAAACCCAAAAAACATACTCTACAGAGTTTAGTTCCCACTTAGTACTTCTTTATTTTCCACCTTAAGCTATATTGTCCAATATGGTAGTTATTAGTCATATATGGCTATTAAAATTAAAATTAAATAAAATTTAAAGTTCAGTTCCTTAGTCACATTAACCACATTTCCAGTGCTCAACAACCTTGTGACTAGTAGCTACTATGTTGAACAGTGCAGATTATCAAATACTTCCATCATTCCAGAAAGTTCTATCGGACGGTAGATGTTGCAGCGCTTTCAAGAAAGACTGCCATTATCATACCTCTAGTACTCAGGATGTCATGTCTTTACATAGTCTTCTTTCTTCTGACCTATTTTAATTATATCTCATCTTCCAAAAATAATTCACATAGCATGAAAATGAACAGAGACAAGGCTGGACCCGGTGGCTCAAGTCCGTAATCCCAGAACTTTGGGAGGTCATGGCGAGAGGATTGACTGAGACCAGGGATTCGAGACCAGCCTGAGCAACTTGGTGAGACTCGTCTATACAATAGATTAAAAAATTAGCTGGGCATGGTGGCGAATGCCTGTAATTCCAGCTACCTAGAAGGCTGAGGCAGAAGGATTGCCTGAGCCCAGCTGACCGAGGCTGCAGTGGCTGTGAGCATGCCACTGCACTCCAGCCTGGGCAACAGAATGAGACTCCTATTAAAAAAAAAAACCAGCCGGGCTCGGTGGCTCAGCCTGTAATCCCGCGCCTTTGGGAGGCTGAGGTGAGTGGATTGCCTGAGCCCGCGGGTTCGAGACCCGCCTGGGCAGCGAGACCTCATCTCCATAATAAATCAAAAAATCAGCTGGGCGTGGTCGCGCATGCCTGTAATTCCAGCTACCTGGAAGGCTGAGGCGGAAGGATCGCCGGAGCCCAGCAGGTCGCCGGAGCCCAGCAGGTCGAGGCTGCGGTGGCCGGGAGCGGCCACTGCACTCCAGTCTGGGCGACAGAGTGAGACTCCAACTCAAAAAAAAAAAAAAAAAACAAAAAACCAAAACCAAAAAACTGGATAGCCCCCTTGGTTCTCCCACTGTGGAAGCTTTTCGGTCCTCTCAATAAATTCTGCTTTCTCAAAAAACAAAACAAAACAAAACAAAAAACTACATAGCTCTCATTATCAGAAAGAGAAAAGCATAGCAATTTCTTTAGGAAGACAATTCTCGCAGGCAGTAAGTTCTAAAACCTTTCTTCAAGGAACCCAAAGCTCTTTCTTTGACACGCTTTTACAGCAACTGAAAAGTCGTTTCTACATGACTACTTCTCTCAAAAACTTTGTCAAAAGTACAAATCAGTGAGGGTAATTCTGCAAGGGGCTGGTTTAAACTAAGGTGACCCAAGTATCTGCCTTTCAGCAGTGTAACTTGATCCCAGGAGAGTTCTGACTACCTCCAGGAGTGGATATCACCTCACTCTAGTAGCAGATTGACTTTTCCATTAACAAGCCCATGTTAGGGGGAAAAAATAATCAGGATGGTAATATTTCTCAGTAGTTTGCTAAAGGTCAAACGGGGAAGGAGGCAATAAAAACTAAAAGCTAAATAGAGATTCGGCTTCTCAGTGGATTTCCTTGATCCACCCTAGGGCACCTCTCTGTTGGCCTGAATAGCTGTAAATGGATGTCACTGAGGTAGAAGACTTCATTATCGTTATTAATTACGTTCCAGTCCTGGCCCTCTATTCCTCCGAGCTCTCACCCTGGGCAAGCAGCCCAATCAAGAAGCTGTTCAAGCGAATCTCACCTGCAGCCCCAGCTTGCACAGTGATGGGGTCAGCGAGGAACAAATAAGGGGCTTTTTTTCAGAGTTGACGAGGGCACCGGGCTGCAGGTTAAGTTCTCGAAGAGGAGTTCTCATCGCCGGTTTTCCCTGAGAAAGAAATCGGGAGAGCGAGTGTGAGGAAGCCTGGGCTCTGCCAGCTCGCCCCTCGTCACTCCCTAAGGAGTCATGAGGCGATTAGCAGAGTAGGCGCCCACCCCGGTCTTGCTGAAGCGGCAGGGCGAACAAAAAGACTGCACACGCCCTCCCCACCCCACCCGCCCCCCGCCCCAGGCTCGACCCAGCTTTCGGGGACGCTCGGCACAGCCAGCGCCCCCTGCCCTAGTATCCCCGGCCCAGCTCTCTCTCTGAGAGAGCTCTCCCGCTCACCGGTTGGGGCGAAGGCGACAGGCTCAGTTTTTTCACCCGCCACATCTTCAACACAGAAGACAGGCCGATCACCTCTCAGACAGCACCGGAGACGCCATGTTCACCCGCCGTCTGTATTTGAACATGCTCCGCGCTTCTCGATTGGCTGCATCGGGCGGGCGCGTCCACTCGGGGCGCGAGCCCTCGGACGACTGGGCGGGGTCGACCCTGGCCACGCCCCCTCGGCGCTGCCTGCCCCACCTGGGCGCGCGCGCTCGCCAGACCGACCCTCTCTTGGCAGACGCGGGTGAGAGGCCCCGCCTGGGGCGGATCTCGTGTCCTCAAGTCCGGAGGACCCCGCAGGTAGCTGGAGAGTCAAGGAGTCCATCCCTCCTGATTCCAGTGGACCCCGCTCACACCCCGTCTGAAGAGCTGTCCGCACGGCCTGGCCCTAGGCAGTCTTGCCTCAGGTTGCCTTAGTTACCTCCCGCCCCGGCCTTGGCAGGAAAAGAAGCGGTCAGGAGGCTGGAAGCCGCAGTGAGCCGAGCGGGCTTCGCTGAGCCTGGTGGGCCCGCGTGAGGCCCCGCGTCCGTTATGGCCTGAGACGTCGTTCTCAACCTGGGCTATAATGCCTCTTCAGCGTCTCTGGGCGTTTCTTGGGACTTGCCTCAGGGCCTCCAGCGAGTTTACTGGGATAATAGCTAACATATATTGAACATTGATTATGAGCCTGGCGCTTTTCTCGGTGCTATTTTATATTAATTCCTTTAATCCTCTAAGGGCCTGTGACGATCCCCATTTTATTATTTATTTATTTATTTATTTATTGAGTTGGAGTCTCACTCTGTCGCCCAGACTGGAGTGCAGTGGCGGCTCCCGGCCACCGCAGCCTCGACCCGCTGGGCTCCGGCGATCCTTCCGCCTCAGCCTTCCCAGTAGCCGGAATTACAGGCGCGCGCTACCACGCCCGGCTGATTTTTTGATTTATTGTAGAGATGAGGTCTCGCTGCCCAGGCGGGTCTCGAACCCGCGGGCTCAGGCAATCCGCTCACCTCAGCCTCCCAAAGGCGCGGGATGACAGGCTGAGCCACCGAGCCCGGCTTTTTTATTTATTATAGAGATGAGGTTTCACCAAGTTGCCCAGACTGGTCTCAATCCCTGAGCTCAGGCAATCTTCTCGGCTCAGCTTCCCAAAGTGCTGGGATTACAGGTGTGAGCCACTATGCCTGGCAGCAAAATATTTTTTAATATTGATTACATGTTAAAATGATATTTTAGACATGTTGGGTTAAGTGAAACACATTAAAATTAATTTTACCTTTTACTCTTTTTTTTCAGATTAGAAAATATAGTCCAGGCTTGGTGACTCAGCCTGTAATCCTAGCACTTTGGGAGGCTGAGGCAAGAGGACTGCCTGAGGCCCAGGGATTCAAGACCAGCCTGGGCAACTTGGTGAGACTTCATCTCTACAATAAATCACAAAAACTAGCCAGGCATGGTGGTGTGTATCTGTAGTTTCAGCTACTTGGAAGGCTGAGGAGGAAGGATCACCTGAGCCCAGCAGAATGAGGCTGTGGTATCTGTGATCATGCCATTGCATTCCAGCCTGGGTAACAGAGTGAGACTCTGACTCAAATAAATACATAAATAAAATTACTTATGTGGCTTATATTATATTTCTAATGGATAGTGCTGTTCTAAAAACATAATGGCCCTATCCTGCAGGTACTAGAGATTTCATCGCTTGAATGAAAACTGTGCAGAAGATGATATAAGAGGACGAACTTGAGCCTAGGATTGCACAGACTCAGCAAAGAGCATCCCAAGGAGTAAGTACTTGTAGACAATCAAAAAGATCCAGCATGGCGGGGTGTGGTAGCTCAGCCTGTAATCCCAGCACTTTGAGAGGCTGAGGTGAGAGGATTGCCTGAGCCCAGGGGTTTGAGACCAGCCCAGGCAACTTGGTGAGTCCTTATCTCTCCAATAAATCACAAAAACTAGATGGATGTGGTGGTGTGCGTCTGTAGTTCTAACTACTTGGAAAGCTGAGGCAGAAGGATCACCTAATCCTAGCGGGTAGAGGCTGCGATTACCGTGAGCATTCCACTGCATTCCAGCTGAGTGACAAAGAGTGAGACTCCAACTCAAAAAAAAAAAAAAAAAAAAAAAGATCCAGCAAATAAGACTTCCACTTCCAAATAAGTATGAATGCCAGAAAAGCCAAGACAGAAAACTCTTAAGTATCAGTAGTAAAAGCTTCTATTTTAGAAAAGTGTGAAGTGGAATGCTTAGTCCTTGCTACAGCTGGCGCCAGAGCCCAGCGGCCACTGCACTCCAGTCTGGGTGACAGAGTGAGACTCCAACTTTAAAAAAAAAAAATGTTCCTCTTTCTTTTCATAGCAGGTGGATTTCTCATCTTCAGTCATTTATTCATGACATTTTAATTTAAATACAGATGTCTTTTTCTTTTACAGTACTTTCATTTTCTGTCTTGTTTAGTATCTCCTCCATCTGTTGATTAAAAGTCTAGTCTTCCAGATGTTCTAAGATTTTACAGCTGGGTGCCGTGGCTCACGCCTGTAATCCCACCACTTTGGGAGGCAGAGATGAGCGAACTGCCTGAGCCCACGGGTTTGCGACCAGCTTGGGCAACAAGGCGAGACCTTGTCTCTCCAATAAATCAAAAAATTAGCTGGGCATGGGGGCAGGTACCTGTAGTTTCAGCTACTTGGAAGGTTGAAGCAGAAGGATTGCCTGAGCCCAGCAGGCCAAGGCTGCAGTGGTCAAGATTACACTCCAGCCTGGGCAATAGAGAGAGACTCAGACTCAAAAACAAAACAAAAGTTTGTTTTTTTTTTTGAGTTGTAGTCTCACTCTGTCGCCCAGACTGGAGTGCAGTGGCACACGCCCGGCCACCACAGCCTCAACCTGCTGGACTGGTGATCCTTCCACCTCAGCCGTCCAAGTAGCCAGAACTACAGGCGCGCACTACCACGCCCGGCTAATTTTTTTTTTAATTGTAGAGATGAGGTCTCACCAAGTTGCCCGGGCAGGTCTCAAACCTGCGGACTCAGGCAATCCACTCACCTCAGCCTCCCAAAGTGCTGGGATTATAGGCTGAGCCACCGAGCCCAGCTGGTAGCATGCTTTTATTAGAACTCTTCAGATAGGCTGTACTACTTTGCTAGGGCTGCCAAAACAAAGTACCACAGACTAGGCGGCTTAAGCAACAGAATTTTATTTTCTCACAATTCTGAAGGCTAGAAGTTGAGTCAAGGTGCCGGCAGTGTTGGTTTCTCCTGAGGGCTCTCCCATCGGCTTGTAGACAGCTGTCTTCTCCTTGTATCTTCACGTGGCCTTCTGTGTGTCTGGGTTCTAATCTTCTCTTATAAAGACACCAGTCATATTGGACTAGGGCCCATACACATGCCCTCATTTTAACTTAATTACCTATCTAAGGAGCCTATCTATAAATACAGTTGCATTTTGAGTTACTAAGGGTAAAGACTTCAACATGAATTTTGGGGAGAACACAATTAAGCCCATAACAGGTGTTGACAATGTAGTAAATATATTTTATTTAATATATTTTTAAAAGCTTTAACAAAATTTCTACATTGAAGACTCTATTTAAAGAAATAATCAAGAAGTTGAGATTACAAGTTTGATAAATCAACGAGCAAGTGACAATGAACAGATCAATATATAATAAAGTAACTCAGGTCAGAAATAATAAAATACAAAGACAATTTTCTAGAAGAATATTAGGATTGATGTTAAGACTATATCCATGTTTACAAATGTATCTAATTTCTTTCTCTCTTTTTTTTTTGAGATGGAGTCTCACTCTGTCACCCAGACTGGAGTGCAGTGGCCGCTCCCGGCCACCGCAGCCTCGACCTGCTGGGCTCCGGCGATCCTTCCGCCTCAGCCTTCCAAGTAGCTGGAACTACAGGCGCACGCTACCATGCCCGGCTAATTTTTTGATTTACTGTAGAGATGAGGTCTCGCCAAGTTGCCCAGACGGGTCTCGAACCCATGGGCTCAGGCAATCCACTCACCTCAGCCTCCCAAAGGCGCGGGATTACAGGCTGAGCCACCGAGCCCGGCTTCTCTTTTTTTTTTGGAGACAGAGTCTCGCTCTGTTATCTAAGCTGGAGTATAGCGGTACAATCATAACTCACTGTAGCCTTGAACTCCTGAGCTCCTGAGCTCAAGGGCTCCTCCTGCCTCAGCATCCTTTGAAAATGCATCACAGAAATCTGAAACCCATCCCCACAATTAGGAACCAGTGGTTATTTAATCCTCATTTTTATATACATCAGGAAACTAAAATCCAGAGAGGTTAAAATGAATTGTTTAAAGACAATGAGATAGTTATTGGTTATCGTAGAGACTACGTCTCCTAAATGCCAATCTGATGCTCTTAGCTACTATTTTGGAAACCATTAATTCCTTTTTTTTTTTTTTTGAGTTGGAGTCTCACTCTGTCGTCCAGACTGGAGTGCAGTGGCCGCTCTCGGCCACTGCAGCCTCGGCCTGCTGGGTTCCAGCGATCCTTCCACCTCAGCCTTCCGAGTAGCCGGAATTACAGGCATGCGCCACCACACCCAGCTGATTTTTTGATTTATTGTAGAGATGAGGTCTCACTGCCCAGGCGGGTCTCGAACCCGCGGGCTCAGGCAATTCACTCACCTCAGCCTCCCAAAGGCGCGGGATTACAGGCTGAGCCACCGAGCCCGGCTCCTTTTTTTTTTTCTGAGTTGGAGTCTTACTCTGTCGCCCAGACTGTAGTGCAGTGGCCTCTCCCGGCCACTGCAGCCTTGACCTGCTGGGCTCTGGCGATCCTTCCGCCTCAGCCTTCCAAGTAGCTGGAACTACAGGCGCGCACTACTACACCTGGCTAATTTTTTTGATTTATTGTAGAGACGGGGTCTCACCAAGTTGCCCAGGCGGGCCTCGAACCCGCGAGCTCAGGCAATCCACTCACCTCAGCCTCCCAAAGCACGGGATTACAGGCTGAGCCACCGAGCCTGGCTCATTAATTCCTATTTTAAGTATCCAGGGTTTTTATACAGTGTGCAGTTCTGGTCATTACAACTTAAAAAAATGTAATAAAACTATAGTAGTGTCTAAAGAGAAACAAATGAGATAAAAGGATGAAGGATACATTGTTTTATTTATATTCCAACTTTATTCCAAAAAGGCTTACAAAGATGCAGCTAATATAGTAATATAAAAAAATTAAAACTTACAAAAATGAGAATAAGGAAAATAAATGTAGAAAAGGAAGATAAAAACAAGAACATGAAAACTACATAAACACTTGCTGGAGGTAGGCCACAAATTGGGCTCTAAATGATCTAGCATCAGTACAAAGAGAAAAATATATAGTCAGTCAAATATTTAGTATCTCTAGGATAAAAACCAAATAGCAATTCAGGAAAAAAACTGGGTTCAGAGAAAATTTCTCCCTTGTATCTGTCAATAGAACATTATGAGCCATAATGATAAAAGACCTTTACAGTATCCACAGCAATTAAGTTTCATGGAGATTTTCATATGGGTTGCCAAAGTGCAATCTAGAAAAAGCAATTCTGCAGAAACCAATCAAATGCCAGCTATGTACAAGGAAAATCTGGCTTAATCCAGAGACAGAATTAATAAATAGAAGTACACAGATGTGTACTTAAACAGGAGTACTCCCCAGACTCTCTTTGGTATACAGAAATAAAATATAACGAAAGAATACATGGCCTATTTTAAAACATATTTTCCCCTCAAATCTCAGAACAAAAATGAAGCTTGTGAGTATTTTAAGAAAAATGAAAAGACATAAAGGCCAGAAATGTATACAAATTCAAGTTCTACTTCTAGATGATCTTCCTTAGTAATGGAAAAGAATCTTGAGATATATCTTTTTTTTTTTTTTTTTTGAGTTGGAATCTCACTCTGTTGCCCAGACTGGAGTGCAGTGGCCGCTCCCGGCCACCGCAGCCTCGACCTGCTGACCTCTGGCGATCCTTCTGCCTCAGCCTTTCAAGTAGCTGGAACTATAGGTGTGCGCTACCACACCCGGCTAATTTTTGATTTATTGTAGAGATGAAGTCTCACCAAGTTGCCCAGGCAGGTTGTGAACCCGCAGGCTCAGGCAATCCACTCACCTCAGCCTCCCAAAGGCGCGAGATTACAGGCTGAGCCACCAAGCCCGGCTTGAGATATATCTTTAACCTTAAATCTTAAGGTTGGTGTCATGCCTCTTACTTAATGCCTTGGTTTTCCCATCAGAAACTGAATTCTAGACTGACTAGGGGAAATGATCAGTTTAATAATCAAAAGAGTTTTGTTCTGGAAATATTTGGATAGCTATTCCAATTATCCCTAGAGGGCATTTAACCCATTTATATCTCAGTTTCTTTTTTTCTTTTTTTGAGTTAGAGTCTCACTCTGTCACCTGGGCTGGAGTTCAGTGGCACACTCATGGCCACCACAGCCTTGGCCTGATGGGCTCAAGTGATTCTTCCAACTCAGCCTTCCAAATAGCTGGAACTACAGGAATGCACCATCACACCTGGCTAATTTTTCTTGATTTATTCTAGAGATCAGGTTTTGCCAAGCTGCCCAGGCTGGTCTTGAACTCATGGGCTCAGGCAATCCTCTCACCTCGGCCTCCCAAAGTGTTGGGATTATAGGCATGAGCCACCACACCCAGCCTTGTCTCAGTTTCTATTTTCTTCCTCACTAGGCTATTAAATTCACTTTTCAAATTTTAAAAATTAGATTTATTACAGTCTGGCCTTAAGCCTCCAAGTCATATTTTTTACCTGCATTTTTAGGGTTGAGATGCCAGCTTTTGAGACCTTTGAAAACATTCATATTGCTTCTAACCTATTAAACACATCAATAAGCACCTTAGGAGACCATGAAGTATTATTATTGCTCAAGAAGGGAAACATGGCCGAGAAATAAGTAGAGAGAAAAGCAGAAGCAGCTCCAGTTGACAGCTTGAGGATTAAGGGCATTGGAAAAATAAAGGAAAAGGTCACTACCCTGATCCTCAGAATTGAGGAGGTACATTGTATGATGGGGTAGGACTAGGGCCAATTGTGGCTCGGTAGTAGAATGCCTAAGATTTGAACTCTGGTCCAATGCCTGGGAGAACAGATTAGTAAGGGACTACAAAATAAAAACAAAGTGGATCATCAAGGTGGTCATAGTGAGTCAGCAGGGGAGGAGATCCTCAGGTTCCCAGCTGGGCCCAGATTTATAGTAGAAAGGCTCAAGCAAGGATAGGGTAGACCAAGAAGGACTCCAGATCGCAGTCAAAGTCCTTGAAATGTATGGACTCCGCTGAACTAAGCTGAGTAGCTTGTGTCTCCACGACAAAGTTCACTGGCTGCTTCTGAAGGAGCTCTGGGTCAAAGGCCACACCCCGAAAGAAAGGGTGGACCTGGAAGTGATGCAGATAACGTAGTCGGTGGAGGGGGTTCTGGCATAAGAGCTGAAGGGAAATAAAGCATGAAGGATGAGGGACTGGGACAGGAAAAGAGCTGAACAGAGAAGACAGAGGAGAAACAAGTTCGTAGAGCTGTGGAGGGTGAGAAGAAAAAACCTAAAGTGAAAACATTAGTAAAAGAGAAACAGAGGCTAATTTGAGGCAAAGGTGGAAATAAAGGAATTGTATTTTTGAGTTTTCAGTTGGTAAGAGTGCAGCACTGGTCCATTCTCTCTGTTCTGGATGGAGAGGAGACTTGAGGGACCAGGAACTCGGGAATGAAATCTCAAGTAAGTTTAGAGGGCAAGTAATAAGGTGGTTAAATGGAACTCCCCTCACGCCCCAAAATTAATCAGAGGAATGGGAAAATACCACTTCAATGAAAGCAGAAAAGCATGAATGGTTGGGCAGCCGAGAAGGAAAGCAGTGCTCAACCTTACCTCATGAAGCAGGAGTGAGAGCCCCTGGTTAAGAGAAGTTGGGATCTCAGAGTCAGAGTGGGTCACACTTGCCAACATGGCCACATGATCTCTTTCTGCAGCCACTGGAAACTGAATTAAGAGGTAGTGGGTAGAAGTAGGGGTATGGTGTCATTCCTTGGCAGGAATAAGGCAAGATTTTCTATCTTCTTCCCACCACAAGGCAAAGCTCCTCTCTTTTCTGCCCAACCCTACTAACATTCTCTCACCTTTCCAGTTGCTAGAGAGAAAAGCAAGACACCCAGGGACCACCAATCAGCAGCATGGTTGTAAGGTCCTCCTCTCAGGACCTCTGGGGCTACAGATTTGAAAGATACTTGTCATTGACATCCTTTGGCTAGCCTCTTGCCCAGTGCTTACCCACCAGCTTTAACCTCTCTCACCCATATATTGAAGAGTGCCACAGATAGTATAGGCTCGGGCTCCCTGGGGCAAATGGCGGGCCAGACCAAAATCTGTCAGTTTCAGATGGCCTGTGAAAGAAGATAAGGCAACAATCCATTCCACTCCACTCCTCATTAGCCATGATTTATTCCCAAACTGAGGTACCTATCTTCCTGGGACTAGGGAAAGACAATGAATTACCTCGTTCATCCAGAAGGATATTCTCCATCTGAAAGATCACAGGTGAGAAATTATTATTCTTCATCTTCCTTTCAACTCTTTCATCATGTATACCCACCCCCAGCTGAAGAAGACCCCCTACTCAGCATTAACATCTATACTTGGAGAGCCCTTGCCCAAATTCTTGGCACCCATGAGTGCCCCAAGGTCTACTATTCTCAATTCCTCCCAGTTTCTTGGACCTGTTGGGACTTTTTACTGAAACCCCTTCTCAGACAAAGGAAAAGGCATTTAACTCTACCTTCACATCTCGATGGATGATGCCTAAGTCATGGAGATAGCCTGTGGATAGCAAGCACAGGGTATACTGAAGCTCTTCTTTCCTTTCCAGTTTCCCTGAGATACCCCACCCCAACCCTATCCCTATTTTTTGACCTCCAGAATTAATATAATTTCTCTCCTCCCTCCCAACTTAATTCTTCTCTCCCCATTTTCTTCGCCACTGTTTCACTTACATAGCACCAGGACCAGCTCAGCAGCAAAGAGACGAATGGAAGCCTCAGGAAAGCAGCCAACACTCAACCACAGGGAGTACAGATCTGTGCTGCAGTAGCTACACACTGCAAAGCACCAGAAGTCTAGGCAGTGTTTGGGGGTCCAATGCCTGGGCTCAAGGCATTGCAGGCCTCCTGCCCAAACTGATGCCACCTGCTGTTCCCATCCCCTTTGGGATAGAAAGGTGCCATGAGAAGGGGAACAGAGAAAAGGCAGAACCAGCCAAAAGAGATAAGTAATCTCAGGTGGGAAGTATGGTATAAGGACCCTTGGGGATAAGGAGAGTCACTCACTAATGAAGAGGTGCCGTTTTCCCTGCCAGCTGTCCCCCAAGCTGTGTACAAAAGGATGGCTGATCTGTCGCTAGAGACAAAGAAAATCGGATGTTAGGGAGGTACAGAGTCATTGAGGATAAAGGCAGCCAAATTAGGTTTTACCTAGCTGTGCAGAAAGGGAGCTGCTGCCTCACATCTCAGTTCAGAGAAACTCAGTGACTGGGACTGATGGGTAATCCTGGAACCAGTATAATAATAAGGAATACACTGGGACTTATTTAAGAGACTTCCCTGACAGGACCTGGAAAAACTGTGTTGACAGCCAATAGCTACTTTTCCCAGTTTAACTTTGGTGTTAGACTAGGTTCAAGCAGATAGAGGAGGCAGAACCAGGAAAAGAAGGTAACTGCATAAGAAAGGTAATTTCCCTACTGTGATTTAGCTCTTCCCACAATCCTTTCCAGGACTCTACGCATACCTGGATGCTAACCTCCTCTTTGCACTGCCTCACAGTGTCCCTCTGTAGGACCTTTGCCTTGGGCACCACCTGTAAAAGGAGTAATGACTGTTAGAGAATAGAGTTACTGTTTATGCCTCCCAGCCTCTCTAGAACCAAGACTGGAAGCAGGGACTACAGAATAATGTGGAAGAATACCTAGGGCCCTACCTTCACTGCAAATACAGCTTTCTGGGCACAATCTAGCACCTTGAGGACAGTTCCAAAGGAGCCTTTAGCTACAAGGCCTAAAATCTGTACAGAGAAATGGAGAACAGGGCAATTGAGCCTGGTCGGAGAACAGGGCAATTGAGCTTGGTCGTTTCTAGATGTCTCCCAGACTGACTTAAGAGATTTCATTGACTTACCTTCAGCTGCTGCTGCCCCCTAATGGGCCTAATGGGAAACTCCGGTAGAAAGAGGTTGATGAACTGAGGCACTGGCCACTCAGACAGAGGCTTCTCTATCAGCAGTGGGGCTGGCTCTAGGGGCTCCCGGTGCAGACAATGATGCCCTCGTAGTTCCCACAGTTCTTCCAGATCTGACCTGATGGTCCCCACACTTGACCAGAGGCTCTTCCAGCCTCGGGCCCAGGGGCCCCGGATGTTGGCACCCTGCTAAGAACCAAGGGAGCCACACTAAACTTTCATACCCTCAGGTGGCACTTGCAGGTTCTGCCAATATAGCAGGTGCTCCTCTCAAGTCTTAATCTCTAGCAGTACGATTTTGAGCACCAGGTCAAATTCCCATAACCCTTGCTTTGTCTAAGCCTTGGATTTCTAGGACACAATTCAAATCCTCTAGGAAAGTAATTGCTGGACATAGTCCCCATGAGGCATTAGGAATTGATGCTTTTACAATACAGCCTCCCTGCCCCACCCCCACACTGGGTATCACTCCATACTCCTAACCAGGCACACTTCCAAGGCCTCAAGCCCATGTCTTCCTCACTGCCCCTCAAAAAAGGCTGCCAGAGCCCCACAGCCTACCTTGTGAGGTGCAGCCACCCGGGTGTGTTGCCCCTGCTGAGTGTGTTGCCCCTGCCGACAGTTCACTGCTCCCATCCCCAGCTTCTGCCTTTTCTCTCCTTCTGCTAAATCTGCTGTCCCAGTTACATAAGCAGTTCCTCCCCTTGACACTGCATTACACATGAGCCCCGCCTCTTCCAATGTGCAGAAACCCATCAGCATAGCGCCAGTGTCACACTAGGGCTATGGAGTTTGTGTGATAACAGCTTCAGCGCAGCAGAGGGAAGACATTGCCTTCATTACAGTGGCAGCTGCAGGATGTTGTCTTAGGTTGTTAAGAAAAGGCTAGATTGAACACATGCACTCAACACAATTAAAAAAAACGAGCATCAAATTTAAAGTTTTTTTTTTCTCTTTAAATCATTTTGCCATTCTCCAGGGGGAAGAGTAGGGGACCCACGGCCAGCCCTGGCTCCTGTTGCCATCCTCCCAAGTGAGTTTAGCATAGAGATTGGGGAGGGGTTGATTCCCCCCAGAACACTAATACCTTTTTCATACAAGGCAGTGGAGTGAGAGACAGAGGATCAACCCTCTCCCCTCAGCTTCCTGGCACGGAGGGAGAGCAGTTACACTTAGAAATATATATATATTTATATATATCTATTTATAAAAATTTATCGCACTTGATTGGGACAATTCCCCCACCCTTTCGGCTGACTCCAAAGGAACAGGGTCCTGCCCTGGGCCCATTCCCCAGGTCATGCTCTCGTTTCGTCTCTAGCCCTAAGCCTCATCAGCATGAGATGGAACTCAGCATTATTGTTCACCATGCCCTGCAGGGAACAGACTAGCTGATAAAGAGCAATGCCTATGGGCTCCTGACCCCCACAAATCCTGATGGATAAAGGGAAGCCCCTCCCACCCCACAAGTCCCTGGAGCCTGAGCCAGAGTCAGATCCTGAACTGTAGCCACTCAGATCGCCAGATCACTTGCGCCTGCCAAAGATGGACTTCTTGCCAGGGTTTTTGTCGCCCACACTTAAACCGATGAGCAGCCGGGCTTTCTCCTCCTCTTCCTGCTGCTGCATGTTCAGGTCCGATTTAGTTTCTAGCTTTCCTCGGATCTCAGACCCCACTGCAGGCTTCAGTCTTAGCTTCTCTTTGATTACCTGGCAGATTGGAAAGGAGTGAAAGGAAAGGTAAATATTAGTGGGACAGACAGAATAAATCAAAACGGACCAGGTCAACAAAAATTTATTTTTTATTTATTTATTTTTTTGAGTTGGAGTCTCACTCTGTCACCCAGACTAGAGTGCAGTGGCCACTCCCAGCCACTGCAGCGGCCACTCCCAGCCACTGCAGCCTTGACCTGCTGGGCTCCAGCAATCCTTCCGCCTCAACCTTCCATGTAGCTGGAACTACAGGCACACGCTATCACACCTGGCTAATTTTTTGATTTATTGTAGAGATGAGGTCTCACCAAGTTGCCCAGGTGGGTCTTGAACCCGTGGGCTCAGGCAATCCACTTACCTCAGCCTCCCAAGGCATGGGATTACAGGCTGAGCCACACCGAGCCCAGCAACAAAGATTTATTAAACTTATATGCAAGGCACAATGGGACAAAAGAAATCCCCAAACTATTATTATTATTATTATTATTATTATTTGAGTTGGAGTCTCACTCTGTCGCCCAGACTGAAGGGCAGTGGCCACTCCCAGCCACTGCAGCCTTGACCTGCTGGGCTCCAGCGATCCTTCTGCCTCAGTCTTCCAAGTAGCTGGAACTACAGGCGCACGCTACCACGCCCGGCTATTTTCTTGATTTATTGTAGAGATGAGATCTCGCCAAGTTGCCCAGGTGGGTCTTGAACCCATGGGCTCAGGCAATCCACCCAAATTATTATAAAATGGTCTCTGCTGTCAAGAAGGTTACAATCTAATTATAACCCATTCTAAACCTGAGGGTGTGTCAGGCCTTAGTTCCCTAAAATCAATGGTGATACATGAAATATTCAGTAAACATTCAATTTAATTGTCTGGAAAGTCACAGAGAGGACAGAGATAGAAGTCACTCACTCCATTCACCTGTCCCCTCCCCAGAATATTTGTTCATGTATCCTAAATGAAAAGCTCCAGATTAGGTCTTGCTAACCAAACAGCCATGAGCCCTTGGAGGATACCTGGGCAACCAGGGCCTTGCGACTGTCCCTTTTGACAGCCATGGCAAAGTCCAGCCACGTCCATGTGTTGTTGTGGTACTCCAGACAGGGCAGCACCAGATTAAGGTCACCCCAGTCCACGCTGTTCTTCTCACCCTGCAAGAGAAGAAGGGGGTGGGGAAAGAAAAGAAGAAGGAAAAAAATACATCAGCTGCCATTTTGAGTCTAAGCCAGTCACTTAAGTGCAAGGCCTGCAATAGCAAACTACAGATAGTGACTTCCCCTTACCTCAGTCTGGTAATGGTGCTGACTCCTGAGGGGAGAGGGAACAGCAGATTTATCACCCATAGCTCAGCTTCACAAGAAATCTAGCTGTCTCCCTGTCTATGACCTCTGATGATGTTATCTGGTTCCCTTCCCACCCTGTTCTAGAAAGTGCTGGGGAGGTGCAGACCTTGTAGCTGACACACAGTGGAACCTGTGGAATCTTTATGTAGATGAAGGAGTTGTTCATGGCAGCTCGCTCTTTCATCTTGTCAATATCATCCACAGGGTGCTAGGAAAGGCAGGAAAGGAGTAAGAGCCCCTGAAACCATCAGAAGAAGCAACTCAGAACCTCAAATATCTCCCTCTCCTTTTACCCCTAGAGTAGGCTCAAAGGAAACAAGAACTCTCCAGCCAGACCAAACAGAGCACCTTAGGACTCTCCCATTTTTCTATCATATGGCATGCTTGGTACCTCAGGTGATTTGCGAAATGACCTTCTGACCCCAGAACTCCGAGTCAAGCCCTGGGCCACACCCTTCCCAGGGCCCAGTGGTACTCCATCATCTGTTGCAATCAGTTGCCGAGGCTTCACCACTGGTATTCCTATGGAAAAGCAAGTACACCAGATGTCATCCACCCTCTTTCTGAAGCTTCAGCTATCTTTGGGGCTACTACCCTATTCTTCTGGCGTTCACTATCTGGTGAACCATAAAAGTTCTCACCAGTAGTCACCAGTTTGGACTTATCCTCTTCATCACCAACTTCATCATCTTCCACACTTCGGCCAGGAAAGAAAAAGCCCATCATTCTATGGAAGAACTGGTGTGTCAACTGGATGGTGAGAGGCACTACATTTACCTAAAAAGAAAAAGATTGAAGAAGCAAGTTCAGACACCATCCCTCAGTTTTTACCTACCCCTAACGTAGCATCACGGTTACTTTTTAAACATTCTTTGTTCCTGGGTCTCTAAGCAACTGTTTACTAACCTCAAAATGCTCCTTTACAGAGATACCCCCAACAGGGGGCCGAACTTTGCTAAAGAGGCGGAGGGCTAGCTGTCGCCCAGACTGGCAGGAGCTCTGGGGTCGCAATACTACCTGTAGAATAGAGAATAAACAACAGCCCAAACCAATGTCATTTCTACCATGAATCAACCCACAAATCCTCTGCAGAATGGGTGGAGAAGCAAGGGTCTTGCTAAATTGAACAAGCTTTCACCATCTCAAGTTGCCATATTGTTTCCCATAGTAGGTTTATATGGAAGGGCCATTATAAATGCCCTACTCTTTTTTTTTTTGAGTTGGAGTCTCACTCTGCTGCCCAGGCTGGAGTGCAATAGCACACTCACAGCCACCGTAGCCTTGACCTACTGGGCTCAAGCAATCCACCTCAGCCTTCCAAGTAGCTGGAACAACAGGCATGTGCCACCATGCCTGGCTATTTTTTTTTTTTTTTTTTTTTTGAGTTAGAGTCTCACTCTATCACTCAGACTGGAGTGCAGTGGCCACTCCCGGCCACTGCAGCCTCGACCTGCTGGGCTCCTGCAATCCTTCCACCTTAGCCTTCAAGTAGCTGGAACTACAGATATGCGCTACCACGCCCAGCTAATTTTTGATTTATTGTAGAAATGAGGTCTCGCCAAATTGCCCAGGCATGTCGCGAACCCATGGGCTCAGGCAATCCACTCACCTTGGCCTCCCAAAGCGCTGGGATTATAGGCTGAGCCACCGAGCCTGGCCTAATTTTTTGATTTACTGTAGAGATGAGGTCTCGCCAAGTTGCCCAGGCTGGTCTCAAACCCGTGGGCTCAGGCAATCCTCTCACCTCGGCCTCCCAGTGTCGGGATTATAGGTGTGAGCCACTGCGTCCTGCCTAAATGCCCTATTCTAAGAAGCATGTGAATAGGAAGAAGGGGGAAATAAAACTTACCTTATAGACAGCATTGGGGAGGAGGTTGTTCATAGTGAACCAGCCCAACTCCAGAAGATGTTCTGCTGTGTCATCAGACTTATTCACCTATAAAGACAGATTTTGTTAGCCAGGCGTGGTAGCGCAACTGTAGTTCTAGCTACCTGGAAGGCTAAGGCAGAAGGATCGCCAGAGCCCAGTAAGTAGAGGCCGCGGTGGCCAGGAGTGTGCCATTGCACTCCAGTCTGGGTAACAAAGTGAGACTCCAACTCAAAAAAAAAAAAGATTTTGTGCCAGGCTCGGTGGCTCAGCCTGTAATCCCGCGCCTTTGGGAGGCTGAGGTGAGTGGATTGCCTGAGCCCGCGGGTTCGAGACCTGCCTGGGCAGCAAGACCTCATCTCTACAATAAATCAAAAAAAAAAATCAGCCGGGCGTGGTAGTACATGCCTGTAATTCCGGCTACTTGAAAGGCTGAGGCGGAAGGATTGCCGGAGCCCAGCAGGTCAAGGCTGCGGTGACCCGGAGCAGCCACTGCACTCCAGTCTGGGCGACAGAGTGAGACTCCAACTCAAAAAAAAAAAAAAAAAAGATTTTGCCCCATCTACTATTAAAAAATCTTTCTCAGGAGCTTACAAGAGAATTGTTGCCTGGCTTGTTTAGTTCTCAGGTTTTCCATATGCCTAATCCCAACCTTGGATATCTCTTTCAATCTCACATAATCAATAACACACTTTAATCTTTAATCCAGTGCTTCTCATGGCCACTAATGTCCAGGGTACTAGTCAGTGTGACATT